CAGTGTTCTATAGTTGTGTCTGTCGGCTGCTGTCAACTGTCCAAGTATTTCCAGTGGTTGTCCTTTCAAGCTCGTTGCCAGATATACAGCTTTCTGCTCCTCTTTCTGCATGACGCAATGTATAGAGATGCCATTAACATGCCCCCCAGTGGCACAGCGGTATGTCTGCGGCCTTACAACGCTATAGTTCGGGTTTCGATACCAGTGGTGGGCAGATCACAGATAGCCTATTGTGTAGCTTTGTGCTTAATTATAAACAAACAAAAAGCCATTAACATTATGATCTATAAATTTATTGTAGTATGTAGAAAACGAGTAAGATATAAAAATAAGAAACTGCGAAGCAGTTAGCTAATGATTCAGTTAGTTCAGAAAATGACTGTTAGTGAAATATGTTAATTTGTTATCGTTATCTGGACTGGAGTTTGCATTATTTTTAGCAAATAATACAAAAGATCCAGCCAAACACGCTATAATAAAACGAAATTTTACTATTTATGTGTATTATTAAATTATTCCATATATATATTTACTCACAGCTATTGTGTTTCCCCTTTCCTCTTCTCCGTTCGGTTCAGTTATTCATGCACATCCTCGTTTTAGAGTTTACTAGCAGCTTTTGAGTGATCGTTAAAGAATACGAGCAACGTGATTTGATAGTAATACAGACTCTACTAGTTAAATAGGTTAGTCGGCTAGAGTAGTATTATTAAATGTTGTAAATTTATATTTGCAGTATTTTGTAATTTATTAATTTTATATTTGAATAGCAATTCTTGCAATATTTTGTGAATGAAATTATTTGTTAACGTTTTAAACTAGCAGTTAGTACACGTGCAAGTACGGATATCGGATTTAGGGGTGAAATAATAATAATTGAACTTCAACATCAAATATGTGAAGTATTCAAAATTATTAATCATGAATTTGTGAGACTGATACATTACTTTCATGCTGAAATTTGAATTCTAAAGGCTGTAAGTTGTAACACAAGAGGTAATAAATTTAAGATTTGATAGGTCAGACATGTTGCATTACACCTTACATTTACAATTTACACCCAGTAACTGAGTAAGAGACGATTTGATTTTTCTGTCCCTAAACACATCCGCGAGAAAAGGTAAACATTTGAATCCATATTTTATTTTTTAGGACATTAATTACATCAGTTTTACATTTGAGTCAATAATTTTTAGAAATTGGGTAGAATTTTTTAATCAGGAAAATAATAATAAAAATGAATAAATACTTTGGTTGAAATTGGATTTTATTTATAAAAAATACTCAAACACAAAGTACAGCTTGACTACTCTCTCAGTCAGAAAAAATTACAAGTTGGGTACAAGAAAGTCTACTGGTCTGGTTTTTCCAACAGTTTTCACTCTCTTTAGTTAAAGAAAAAACATTCTTAAATATCAACCATTTCAGATGATTCTTAGTCTGAAAATAAAAGTTACAAGTAGCTTACAAAAAATATAGTGGTCTTTTTTTGCCAACAGTTTGCATTGTCTTAAAAAATATTCTCATTTTTAAATATCAACCAAGTATTTTCAGATGGACACTCTCTCAGTCCAAAGAAAAGTTAAGTTCAACTAATTTTAAACTTTCAGAGAAAAAAAAATTGTCACCACTTTGTGTTGCCTTTTGATTGGTTGATAAGTGAAGCATAGAAAAAAGTTAACTACATTGATTTGGTTACAGATGTCTACTGACATGCTTCATCATTTGCTGTTTTAAGTGTATTTTCAGACATTGTACTGTGGTCTGGTTTTTGAATATAGTGCAGCTTACTGAAGGAACACTTGACTTCTACACTTCCAGCTAGAATGCAGAATAGAATTAATGCTTCTGGCAACTGCAGAAGCAACCATGTTTCTGTAGTATGCACCATCAAGATAAGGTTGAGGAAACTTAAGAAGTCAAAAGTTACAAAGACGCTTGATTATACAATTTTAATGGAAAAAGATATGATTAAAGAAAAGTATATAGTTGCAGTTAAAAACTATTTTCAAGAACTTAAAGGAAATATGTTAAAATGGGAAATTTTTAAAGAAGCACTAGTTGAAACAGCCAAGGTGGTTATTCTTTTAAAATTATGGCAAAAGAAACAGAAATGGATGACGGAGGAAATACTTGAACTAATTAAAGATGGGAGGAAGATGAAAACCTGTAGTATAGAAGCGTATAAGAAAGTGAACAAGATAATTTGATCAATCCCTCTGCCTGACATGCATGTTCATTAAAGTTGACTACATTATTGTCGAACTTCTTAAATTTTCAGCCTTTTGCCTTAGAGAAATATGATGTACACTATGAAGGTGCTCATGTATCCTGTTATATGATTTCTTTTATCTGTCAACTGATATTTTTAAAGCACAGTTTTTTGCATACAACAGCTGCTTCTTCAGGCCCAGTACCACTGTTTCCACAAAAAACCTTGAAATCAGGATACTCTTTTGCCCAGTCAGCATGTACTTTGCATTTTCTGCTCATCATTGAAAAATTGTACTTATTATTATTATTATTGAGGAAATTATTATTCAGAAGTTAATATTTTTGTTAATGTTAACTGACTTTACCTACTGAACTACTACCTCGAACCAATGTCTACATTTTTTTCTTTCCTTTTTATAGTCTCTGAAATGTATTTGTGCTTTTTCTCAATCTCTTGCTGTTGTTTCATTTCTCCCAGGCTCTCCAATGTCACTTTGCTTTTCTCTGTTTCCTACTTTTCTCTCATTTTACTGTTCCAGTCAAATACTTTTTATTTTGTAGCAGAGTTACAGGAACTAACTGCATTACAGAACATAAGAAATACTGGAAATTATCTTTTTCACTTCATGCAAAGAGAAAAGCTTGGCTGTGGCATATGTACTTTAAACGTGTAACTGGGAAGAGAAACCCAAAATGTAAAGCAATATTGCTTTAATGCTTGTAAAATTAATTTAAGAATCTACATTTTTCCAACAGGCAAGTAAATTTACCTTTGTCGATTCTAGCTATTTACTGTTGCATTTGAATCACAGAAAACTGCAAATGCATTTATTCACATAGTCTTTTGCTTATTTGGGGAGCTAAAAGGTTTAACCTTAATTTAGAACAAAATCCTTGAGGAGGGGGGCAAAGTTGGGTTAAATCTGGTAAAACCAACAATCAGAAACCACATTATAGGTTATTCAATAGGGATAGAATAGGGGAAGAATTATTTATATATAAATATGAGCTATGTCCTGTTGAAGTTAAATACATCATAGATAGTGACAAGGAGATTGGAATTTATTATATACCTTCAGATGAAACTGATAAAATTATAAACTCTACTGTGAGGTTAAGATTTAGCTATTAATGTGGTCATGATTATAGGGAGACATTTTGGATGGTTTTCTTCAACTGGTCATGTAATCTACTAGAAACAATGCTATTTTACATTTATTAACTTCCAATACAGAAATGGTTGGGAGAGTGGAGATTCAAACAGTAGGTTGGAGAACCATTTTAGTGAAGGTGTGGTAAATAATAAATGCTGTTGAGAGTTGAGCCAATGGAAATTGGATGGCAGGTAAGTATCAATAGGTTTCAACCTGTCAATACGATAACCCTTTCTAACATGGAATCATTCTGGTAGCTCTTTTCTGGATGCTCTCTAGCAACTTGAAATTCTTTCTTAACCCTCCTTATGATGATGATCTACTTACATGAAAGTGAAAGTTCTTTACAAAAATGAAACTAGTGGATGAAATTGTATGAAATTTGACACGAATGTTTCCAAAACTATGTAGTTTCAGATAAATAAAATATTTAATATTGATTTCTTCTACTATTTCTAATAAAACATTTGTTATTTAATGTAGTTATTTGCATTTGGACTCGGCAAGGTGATTTTCATTTTGAGTATAAAAATACTATTTATTATCTTACAGTTTTCACATTTCATTTGTATAATTTACAGAACCTCCTAAATGAATATCAAAAGATTTTTAAGGTAAATGTTTGTAGTTTATTTTCTATTTTCTCTACTATATCACTAACTCTAGTTATTATCATCAATGTTTAATATTAAGAAATGGAAATATGGACATACCTTTTAGCTTTTCATAGAGATCTTTTGAAACTAGTTTTTTTTAATATTTGTAATTTCACATCTCTAATTTTCCACTTATGGTTCATTTTTAACTTTCCAATTCTTTGTCTTTTATTATTTATGCTGATATGTTAACTAGCCCTTTGCTGGGCTCTGTTATTATTATTGGGTGACTCCTGTGCACAGACTGGTTCACTAATGCTCACACATGTGAATACATCTGTTTAGTGTACTTTGACTATCTGAACTAATTCTATATTAGCTACTCACAATTTCTTTCGTATGAGCTCTTGAACGTTGAGAATTGTAACCTCGAGTGGATCACATGACAGCAAAAAACTGCAGTTTTAATTGCTGTTTTTGATGTTTCTTTTCAAAATAAAGGAATATAACTGAGATAATATAAAACTTTAAATTATTACATATTTGATAATTATAATTTCATTAAAATGCATTTATAGTAAAGTGGTTCAAATAAATTTTGAATATAACTCAGTAACATGCACTGGAGGAGGTTAACAGAGTTTAAAAATGGTGTTGTTGCTATAGTGTTAAGTAAGATTAATACAACTGTACACAATATTCCAAAAGAGCCCTAACCAGCACCTTATAGCATCAGTCAGTGACCTTAAAAAAGTTAGTTTGAAAACTTTTAAGTTATCTCAACTGTAAAAAATCATTAGTTCAGCCAATAATTTAATGTTAAATATCTTGACCAATCGCGTCATAATATGGCCTTTTCCAATAAAAAGTTAATTAGACAGGATGTTATATGTGTGCTGCACTGTATAGTAATAATAGTGAATGCTTCTAGATTTTAGGCTATAATATGTAATATTACTATATGCTCAATCTATTGATACTGTGAGAGGGCATTCTACACAACTTGAATAGTCGATGAAATTGTTGAATAGTAAATATCAAGATACAGAAATTGTTAGACCTTGGGATACTGTAGGTATGTCATGATGTAACTGCTAACCTAACTTTACAAGTAGAGCAGAGTATGGTTAAGTAATTAATAATTGTGATTTGTTATGTACAATAACTGACTTCAAATACACCTTTCATTAAACATGCCGAAAAAGGAATGAGTTACAAGGGAGAATGCCATGAAAATGTTTTCTGTGGTGGCCAAGTACCAGAAATTGGAACTTTTTTGGATTGGTAAATATGTAAATTACGTCCTGACTTTTAGTCATGGCATAATGGCTCATAGAATGGCTCTGAGTTTTTTCCAAGTACAGACTTTTAGCTCATAGCTTCATTATCTCTTGACTGATTTGAGGTCTAATTACAGTTGAAGCCTCAGGAGGTCAAACCCTTTCGATTGATGCATTTGACCACACCCAAGGTCTTGGAGATTAATTTACTGTAATCTTGCCAAAAAGAATTTCTATTTGAGGGTAGGCTGTTAGAGATTCTGATGAGTAATAAAATTGAATCAGGTATACACATGCCCCTTGCTTGGTATTGCTGGCACACAAAAACATAGCTAATAAAAAAGAAAAAATGGTCTTGTACATTAATTTACGCTAATCCTGCCTCAAAGGATTTAAAATGCCGTGGCTATTGAGAATTACCTCTTGTATAGAAAATGAAGTGGAAATAGGATATGTCAATATTTTGGCTCAATAAATTTTTTGTGCAAACCCACCAAAGGCTTAGGCCTACTACATTAGCTAAATAGGGTTAATGTTACTGAACTACAAGTAGTAAGTTGCACAATGCAATGCATGATGATAAATGATCTATAGGTTATGACCATGTGCTATACTGTAGTGTAGGCCTAATTTACTGTTTGTTGGAACTAGCCTACATTAGAAATTATGCAAAAAAATACTAGGAATAGTATTGTTTGAAAAGAGAATTTTGACCTTATTTCATGGCAGTGCATCTTTCTATCTTCCTGCCAAGATTTTCAAAGAGCTGCTGTTTGGAGACCGTGGTTTTTTTTCAATTTTGGTCAAGTAGTCAGTCATGTTGAGGTTGAATTTTGTTGGTAGAAATTAGATCTTTAAACTTCTTTTCCTTTTTCTGATTGTTTTCAGAGTTAAACAAAGTAATAAATGGATAGAAGTGCATAAAAGTTATATACAATTCTTAGGTCAAAGATCATTTGTGGTCAGAAGCTAGAAATCTTATAAAGCACTTGTTTTCTTTATGTATATGTCTGATCTTTATCAAAGTTGGATAAATTAGTAAGTGGATAGAGATACATGAAAGTTTATATGATTTTCAGGTCACGTCATTTGGGGTCAGGAGGGGGCAAAACTAAGAATGTTATTAAGGTCATAGGGCATTTTAGATCAGCATGATACTTTTTTTTTAATCTTAAAGCTGATGTATTGTTACTTTATAAGTGTTATTGGTTAAAGTCAATACTTATCTACCTGATAAACATAATCTGGAAGTATAGGTCAGCTTTCCAAGCCACAGTGAAAAAAATTATTACTATGTTTACTAAACTAATTGGGAAACTCTTATATATTTTGTTGATTTTAATGTGTACTATGGCCTTAGTGCCCTTCAGTGCATTTTTTTTTGGCCTTAGTGCCCTTGAAAATGAGAGAAAATCCAAGACTAAATGGCCTTGCCCTAAAAATGATGAATTTCCTGACCTGCTGATCTTGGTCTCGATGCTTTTCTTTCAGGTGTTTGCCTCTTTTCCTCTCTCCATTAACTAACTCTTGCACTCTTTTTCACTGCACCAAATTTATGTGGTGTTCCTGCTTCCTTGGAATTTTGGGGTAGGTCTGCTTGCCAACAGTTTTCCTTTTATTGAATTCCCTAATTTCCTGATTCCCTAGGCCATGGATACTTAGTTGGTTTAGGTTACTGACCTTGGAAGTCCTAGGGGACTGCTCCGTCTCCATGAATATATTGAGTATTTTTTTTGAATAGTCTGTGTGAAAAGTAAGTTTTGTGTTAAAATTAAAAATACTTCATCTGAAAATTTTCAAATTTCATTTGTGTAACATCTAAAACCTCCTAAATAAATATTAAACGTTTTTTAACAGTAAAACATATTTTATCTGTTATATTTTCTACTCTTATTCAGCATGGACTTGGTTGATTTGGCCGACCTTTTAACCACCGTAAAGAGTACAAAATAAATCTATATTACCTTTTTCTTTCTTTATATACTTAAATAATGCATCTAAGAACACAGAATAATAACACAAAGCAAACCACATCCTGTAAGTATTAGAATTTAACTGAGTTTGAAACTAAGACAAGAGGAACTTCAATTAATTCCCTGTGATCACAAGATAAACTTTCAAACTGAAGATGAAATTGATAAAACTCTGTACAGAAAACAATGTAGCATTATACATCATTTGATAGATTAAAACTTTTTCTTTATATTGATTATAAATTATGTAGTATAAAATATCAGAAAGGATTATCGGCAATTTGTGAAAGAAAGGATGTGACGGGTGGGTGTGGCAAGCAGGTCTGATTATCTAGCTTATGACTCTGTCAACAGATAAAGTTGAAGACTATAAATATTAGCCTATGTCATAGTAATATCTATATTATAATGAGTAACTTAATTCAATTTTGTATGTCAGTGAGGGGTGTTAAATAAATTCAAGAAGGAGAAGACCTAGAGAAAAAATGTCACGTTTCTCATACTAGGGGAGATTGACGACTTTTTAAGATATTTCCTTATAAGATTAAAAACTTAGAATTTATATTAAAAGTTAATTATATTTTGATCTCAACTTTGTTTGTATACATTGATAAAAAGTAAGTAGTTTAATTATATTTTGAATGTAACTGTAAAAGGCTGTAACATGTGCTCTTTGTCCCACCTGTTGCAAGAGTAACACTGGTTGGTTTATCAGCTCTTCTCTTGGGCATACTGTTTTTTAGATGAGTCTGACCACTTTTAACATCTCCTCCTATCAGATTTGGTATATCACAGCCTCTCTTTCCTCCTTTTGGTTCTGATATGTGGAGGAGATCAGTTATGTGGATTTCACCTAACACATTAATCTCTCTTTACTTACATCACCAAGTAGTTTCATGTTACTCTAGTTATTGTCTCCCCTTAGTCACCATTTTCCAGTTTACTCAGGGGCTCTAGTGTGATGCATTTTTCCAGCTCCATCACTGAGCTTGTATGGTATCCATGTCCCTGGTAGATTTCATGATATGATGTGTAGAGTTCATTTTGTAAGCATCCTTTAGAAAATAGAGGCAAATCACAACAGAATGGGGGAGGGGACTCAAATCAAATGCCCACATCACATGTTGATCTAAACACTAGGTTAATTATGTTTGGTGTCATCAAATCCCACCGAATGACTGGTGTTGTGTCATGGAGCATTTATCCAAAATCTGCGTTAAGTGGAAAAAGTTCAGAAGGTGTTAAACCAATTTGCACCTGATCAGTTCCCACTGTTGAGATGGGGTTTTCTGCAGTACAGCTTCAGTGGTATACACACATCTATATAATTGACCTGGCTGTTTCTGCACCTTTTACACAATCAAGAAAAAGAAAAGAAAAAGATAACACCAGGTGTATTCCTGCTCTTACACCTGGCTTGTGCTTGTCATTACACTGTCTCGTTAGGGACCAAATTCCAGAGGATTGTGCATCACGACAGTAGTCTATATTCATGCACTGGTGTTCTGCTCTACACATATTTCTCCCCCACCTTGTTTTTTTAGTGGAGCATGAGAGAAGCCTCACTTCTCCAGTTCTAAGCTGTTGAAGAAGTTGATATGGAGAATTTCCTCTGTGAGTGGTGCCTTCTCCCTCAATAAATGACCAGTTAAGCCCACCCATCGTTTGAAATGTAGGGCTGGAGTGTTACCTGGAAGTGTAGTACAGGACACCTCATTACAATATCTCTTAAGCAGATCTTGGTGGATATGTCCAGCTGGATGGGACTTGGATTTGCATCATGTACATATATGACCAAGACAGAATGATCTAAAGCCCTAGACACATTAAACATACTAATTTTCTGCCCGGCATGAACACACATAACCACGATGATCTCCTGCTTGAAAAGGATGTGGGTGCTGCTTTGCTAGCAAACCTCAATCTCATGGAAGTCACATTCCATGAGCTTTCCTTTTCTGCTTCTATTTCAGAAGGAGCTCATTTTTGTAATTAATCAGTATTAGCCCCTCCACCAACTTCAATATGGAATTCTAGTTTTTAATAAGTAACAGAATTAAGTAAGAGAAGAAAGTAACATTGCTGAAGTTAACATTTTCTTTACCTGAAAATGTATTTCAGATAGGTGAATACCTCTCTGCACTACCTTCCACCTTTCCTCTCCACTTCTGGTGTATTTCACTTGTTAGCCTATGTTCATCTACTGGTGCTCAGGAAGATTACTGCACATGGAGGTTCTGTTGCTCTCCTGTTGGTCGAGATACAGCATTATGAGGATTACATTATAAGGCTTGCTAATGCATGTAGACACGTGTAGAGGAAAGAGTTTGTTTCAAGGCTCGTGGAGTGTGCAGGAAATTTTATGGCAGAGAGGTAAGTATCTACCTGAAATACATTTTTGGATAAGGAAAATGTTAACTTTTTGAGCATTTTGTCCATTGAACCACTTTTGTTTTTCAGAAATTTCCCACACGTGTAAAATTGATAAATATTAATGTTTAGAAAATTGTTACTTTACACACACATGAACATTGTGAGGAAGCAAGCTATAATTTCTTCATACAATCAACTAAATAGTCCTGCTTTAAGTTTCAGGCAGTTATTAGCCCATAGGATTAGTCTGCAGAATCACCAAAATCTTCAGGGCACAGAACTTTAACTATTAGAGTCTTTACTTGCTGGTAATTTCTGGTGGTGGAAATTAGAGGAAGTCTTACTCAATAGTAAGGTTTTACCCTTGCTGATTTGCATTTGTCATCTAAAAGTAAAGAAAGTTACATTTTACTGATTACATTACATCTGTGTCCTTTTGGTGGTACAATAGTTTCACTTGGGTGGCTGACACTTCTTATCTCAAATCCAATTTTGTATATTTTCTAGGCACAAAAATACAGATCTGTAGGTAATTATTATCAATATCATCATGTAGCAAGCACAGTCATAAGAATGTTATAGCTGTTGGGAGAGAGATGTGATGTAATTATTTCAATACATGTGACTATAACTTCAAAGTGCTTCTCCTATGCAGATAAAAAGTATATAGAACAATAAAATAAAATGATGTTTAGATCTCACTATCACCATAAAAGTTTCTATGTGAATATCCAATTTACAGTAGCCTGAATTCAACCAAAATAATAATGAATGAATGTTCTCTCCATAAATACCCATTGCTCAAGTTTGACAGTTCTGTGCTTCATAATTGAGTTAGTCATTGCACTCGTACACCTCCATGCTTCAGATTTTGACCCAAGAAATGGGTTTTTCCAAACATCTTTAGTATTACAAGAACAATTATTTTCATTCCAATTTGCCTTATTTTTCATCATTGTATAGTTAATCTGTTAAAAACATAACTACATATATAGGTATGACTCGCAAACTACTGCAAAATAAATTATTTTTATCTGTCAGTTTATACTCATCTGTGTTTCATTCATTAGTAATATAACATTTACTTCTACTAAAGTGAAGCTCCAAATAGTATGGCAAACTAACAAGGAGGTGGAATGATAGTAAAGCACTCCACTATCACTCAAAGTGCTTAGTTTTAAAAATAAACCAAACTATATGTTTAAAAAGTGTTTATGATGCAGTTGAACTTTTTTTTACTGATTTGCTATTATGTTCTGTATGGTGAACTAAAGGACTAAAACGTGAAGTTGTAATGATATTTATAATGTCATATTTTACCCTTTTATAACTTGTATAGAATATTTTTTTATTGAGGTATGTTTAGATATTTTTACTTCATTTTCATGCAGTATTCTGTATGTAATGCCTGTCTGGTAAACCAGATGTACAAACATTGTAAACATACACCAATCCACTTATTTAGGTAGAGGAGACACAATACTACAACAATTCAGTGGAAGCTTGTACTATTTTCACCCTGTGTCTACTATTTTGTGATAGGGTGGTCTCATGCCAAGGAGTAACACAAATACATTTACAAGGTATCATGAGTTTAGATGTTCTTTCATCTGATTATGTTTATTTGGAATGATTGTTAATAATGGTAATCTAAAGGACTGTGGGATACTGTACTACGACCTTAGTATGACATAATAGTGAGATATCTTCATAATTTTAGATATCTTTTGTTTTGGTCCTGTCTTAATCTTGTTCAGATGTTTTAATCCTGTTCTCCAATGCCAGCAGGCCAGTTTTAGTTGAAGACTTTCACCATTGTGAATAAAGGTTTTGTTTTTTTACTGGTATAATACCAGTTTTTTATCATCCATGTTCATTTTGATATTGTACATAACATTTCTAGAACCTATGTTTTGATTTGTTTTTGGCAGATATCAGTGTATTTAAATACCATGTAGTGCTATATTTGGTATAAAGTGTCACTTTATGTAATGTTATAACAAAAGAAGAAGCTTACTTCATAATATTTAATATAATTAATATTTGAACATAGATGAGTAAATAAATATGGAAAAAAGGAGTATTGTTTCATATCTGCGTGTGGTTTTACAAAAAAAAAAAATAGACTGCTGTACGTAC